GCCTGAAGAAGCTACAGCCAAAGCTATTCCATGATCTTTTCGTACTCTGGCCAATAAAATATTTATGACAAATGTTTTACCAGTGCCTCCAGGTGCGTCTAAGAAAAATGTTTGGCCAGTGTTCTTTTCAATGCCCTCTAATATTTTGTTATATACATAGGACTGTTCATTATTTAGTAAATGTTCATTAAAATTTATATACTGTGCCAAAATATTTGAATCATAATTGATTTCTCGAAGGTAATCTTTATTTTGTAAGACTGCTTCACATCTTGATGGCTGAGGTAAACCATAATGTTGCAAAGATGTACCTCCCAGAGATAGAACAGTATCTTCAAGAGTAACTAAGCATTTATTGTATACTTCATTAATAATTAAATTCACATTCTCGGGTTGTATATCCAACTCCACTCGATGTCGTATATCTTCTGAAAGACTGTCCTTGTATTTTTCCCAAAGACTTAAAGCATCTGACAATTGACAAAATATCAACATAATTGCAAAAAGTTCCCGTAATTTAAATGGAGAACCACAAAGCACAGCTTCTTCCATAGTTGTATCCCAGTGCCTTTCGTCTTCCAGTAAGCCTAGAGCCTTACACGCTGTCTGATAAGTAGGTTGAATTGTGCCGTTAACAGTTTTCAATTTCAAAAAAGATGTAGGACCTCGGACTTCATGAAGTAAAAGGCGAAGATAGTAACACTCGGTATTATTAGGGTGAATGGTATATACTCTACCCAGAGCTTGATCTCGTTTTATTCCCGGCCAACCATTTACGTTAATTCCACGTTTTCTTCTCTCAAATCTATTATTTTTCCATACATAGTAAGAGGGAACATCAACATAAAGAAGTGTTTTTGCAAAATCATCTGTTTTACATAAGTCGAAAAATGCTAAAAGAGTAGTTTTTGGTGGATTGTTAATCATGTCTGTCAAACGACTGGAGTCATTAGGGTTGAAATAAACACGCTGGCCATTTTCTAAATGCACGGAAAGATGGAAGACTGTTGGAAATCTCTCGTGGATAGGAAAAGCCAGAATTCTCCATACAGCCTCAGAGCTGCTGATATATCCACCACTTTCATAAAGCTTGACTTCATCATTATCATTTTCAAAACCAAATGCTGCTTGATCACTTCCTTTTGTAATATATTTACAAATGTATTTTATAGATTTTACAGAGTTACAGTACTCTACATTAATATGAGCACCAAATGTACGTGAAAGCACTGGGTTATACGGTACTACCCAACGATTATCAAGTGTATTACCATTTATTTCAACAGTAAAACCACCATTTTCTGGAGCTCTTCGCCTATACTTTGGATACCCGTCGTCTCCTGTCTGTGTTTCTTGAATGAAAGTTCTAGGATACTTCTTGCTACAGCTACCTGACTCCATACAGGGTGATCTATTGTTTGAATTACCGCAAGGCCCATGGATCATATTGGCTTTGATAATATCGTAAAGGAGAGAATCTTTTCAGGATCAGGTATTTCCGCACTAATGATACAATCTAATTTATCTGGAGTAATGCGCTGTTTTAGCCATAACAAAATATGTATGTGTGGTAAACCACGTTTTTGCCATTCGACCGAATACATAAAACATTGCACTTCCCCAAACAAATTCCCTTTTGTTAACAATTTCATTAACGTCTTAACTTTTAAATGAAATATCCTAGCTATAATATCATGACGATCGTAGGACTTTTGTTCAGAAAGTAATGCATTTGAAACTTCTCTCCATCGAGGATTACATGTAAAAGTTATGAATAAATCAGGACGACCGTAATGACGAACGTATGTCATGGCGTCCTGAGTTTTTTCATGCATATACCGTGGTGAGCCAGTAAAAGACGACGGAAGAACTACCATCTGACCAAGATGGGTAAGATCGGTATCTTGTCTCCCAATAGCATCTCTGAGATGTATGTAATTATCAGCTCTGAGTTTTTGTATTTTGAATTTCCACTAATTGCGCGTGCTCATACAAATTTCGACCAATGAACGGACGACATTGCGACGTTGCCGTTCCGCACCATTCGAATAATATTCGTGCACGACCAGTTCTATTACCAACTATTCTATTGGCGTTCAAGAATACGGTTTTGAGTTGGTAGTAGAATATCTACCAGTAGAATGGTTCGTATACGAATATCGTTCTACTACTTTCAAAATAGCAAAAATAATAATAATAATAATTATTATTATTATTATTATGTAATTCATCTTTTATTAATTTACGTAGTTCGTTTAGTGAAATTTTTAATTCATTATAATTTTGGTTTTTAATAAAACTGAAAATATTTTCGAAACAACAATTATTAATTAAATGGAAGTTAAATGATATTAATTGATTATGTTTTTTGTAATAAACATATTTTACAACATTTTCGTACCAATAATATTGGATTCCATAACTTATTATTAATTTCACAGTCAATATCAATATCAATATCACAATCATGAAACATAGGTCTTAGAATTTTACGTTGTTGTTCAATCAAATTTAAAAGTGTTCTCATATTTTCCATTTCTATTATTTATATTAGAAAATATTTTTTTTTAACATCGAATTATTAAAACATACATCAAAGCGTCTGACATATATATATATAAATTATTATTAAAAAAAAACCGGACGCACACAGTTCATGAGACGGACGGACGGACAGACGGACATAATAACATTGAACATCCGCCTGTCTGTCCGTAATAACATTGTTATGTTATTTAGGCCCGGTTTTTCAATCATATTGATTCATCGAATAACATGAGTTATTCGACAGATAAGAAAAAATAGCAAAATACCGGTTTTTCAATGTCAGAATAAGTCTTATTCGATGAATAAACCACGAATAAGTTATTCGGTACTTTTTTGACCAAATAACAAGTCATTCGACGAATAAATGTGTTATCATAATGTATAACTGTGCTGTGATCACCAAAAGTTGTATTTTGTTATTATTATAATAATACCAAACCAGAACGTACTTCTTATATTTTATTTTTTTATAAATAAAATATAATGGATATTTTTTTAATATTTTATGAAGACGATGATCAAGAAATCATCGAATTTTTAAATTACCAACGTCGTACATACACCATACGTATGAGAGTTGATCATATGACACTTTGGGATGATCATGATTTTAGGATCAGATTCCGAATCTCAAAGGTGGTCGTTCTTCAAGTTTTAGACCACATCAACGACCAAATATCTTCATTAACCGATAGGTAAGTTGGTTTATTATAACTGCCTCCCGAAATATTCAGTTAAAATATTGAAATGAAAAATTATGATATCAAATATTATTAATAAAATTGTTTGCATCAAAACAAAAATATAAAAACTACCTGCATCTTTATCAAACTTTAAAATATTTTGCCACACGTATAGTATGTAGGTTTAAAAAAAAAATATGTTGTTAATTGTTATGATATTATGATGTATTTATTATTTTTTTCTGTCTGTCAGCACTATTTTGGTAAAAAGTAAAAATGTAAAAATGATCGGATTTTCGAGATCAGCATAATTTCTGGTTGAAAAGTGAATTAAGTTTGTCGAAATTGAAAATTCCTAGTAGTTTTAGAAAGCGTCAAGATCAAAATAAAACAAATTTTTATTTTATTTTTTTGGGGTAACCAAATATTAATAACCGTTTACCGTTGAAATTTTCACCACATATTTGCATATAGAAATCTGTGGTTCACACGAACAGCTTGTAACTGGTATAGTTACGAATGTTTTAAAGGCTTTGAATACATTTGAAAATAAATCCTTTCTACCATAAACTGTAAGCCACTTAATCCATTCACCACAGGTTTTTCCTTTTGGATTGGGATCACTTTGTTTAAAATTTTATATCTGTGATCACAAATTAATAAATGCGTAACTAAAAAAATTACAATCAAAATCTATGGGTATAAGGTACTGCAGGGACCCTTTGTAGAACTGCATTAATGAAAATTAATAATATATATGGTTACATTAAATTAGAACATTTAGAAATTAACTTACTACAATCAGAATCTAAGAGGCTAGGTAACCCTTCAACTGAAAGCTGAATACTTTCATACAACTGTTTCTCCAATTCACTAGTACTTGTATAGTCAGTTTTACTAGGACCACCACCAGTTTTAAATAGTTCACTTTTTGAACCTCTCAACAACTTTTTTATACCTTCGTATTTTAGTTTTAAACTTGTAGCATCTCTTGGCTACAACAGTACAAAATTAAGTTTTTATCTTTAATAAGCGATTCCTATTTTTTTTTAGATTTTTCTCAGTATAAAACACAAAATACACATAACTTACACATCCTAATATAGCTGAATTATACTGCTCAGCAATTTTAAGCCAGAATTTGTTCTTATCTTTCCAAGACACAGCGTTTGATTCCTTATTTTCTAAAATATTTTGATTCTCTACAGCATATTTCAGTAATTATTCTTTTTCGGTGAATGAAAAATTAGTAGCCCTTACCCTTTTAAGTTCATTATTTTTTAATACCATTTCGTAGCACAACACAACAAAAACTCAAGTTTCAAATTACGATGAACAACAAATTATTTAATAATTTCATCGAAAATATAATAATAATAAAATGAATAATATTAATAATAATAATACATTGATAATACGAGTATCATTGATAAGAATATGTTGACCAATCATAAACAAAAGTATATACAACTTGTTCCACAATCCACTATTACCATGAACTACTACACAGGACTGGACACTATTGGCAGGAGGAGAGTAGGGGGTCGTCCACAAAATTGTACATATTCGGTACACATGCGACACAGCGCCATCTGTGAGATAAGAAATATTTTGTTATATAAAATACCGCCTTAGTAGTTCATGCTTAGTAGTCCCACAAAAGTGAAATATTGACATATATTATTACTTACTACTTAACCATGAGAATGAGACAATATTCACAAATGACAAATCAAAAACAGATCAAAGTAAGCTGCAAAAAGAAGAAATTGTCAAAGTTGGTAAAAACATAAGATAAACGTAACAAATGTACATAATATTTTTTTTATATACCTACAGAAACGTCAAAAACTGACAGCTATTAAATCATTATTAAACTTACTATTTAGCATTAGCACCACGGCATTTACTATTTATTATCACTAATATCACTATTCTTTAGTGTTATCCTATAAAAAACATAGTTCGTACTACTATACTCCGGCCCACGAGAGAGTATTACCGTCGCCCGACGAAAACTCGTCCGATTCCGCGCATTCCCCACTACTCGGCATGTGCCGACAACTGTTCGGTACCGGTCGGCAGCGCCCAACGCTATACGGTGTATAGCGGTCGCGGAAATAGTGGAGGAAATGGGGCCTCGGAACGGTCTCCGCCGTCAGTCTGCATGCGCAAAACGGTAATACTCTCTCGTGGGCTGGAGTATAACAGGCGGAGTGCAGTTACATCGCATGTGTACGAACCTTGTACAACTTTGTGTCCGTGATTTTCTCTGTAGTGTCCAGTCCTGTGTAGTAGTTCATGACTATTACTATCACTGCTATCAGTACCACAAATTAATTTATCTACCGAATAACTATTACTCAAATAACTATTCGATGAATAAATTTGTATTGAAAAAC